CAAAGGATTAGACGCAAACTGGCCGTATGGACTAGCAAAAGTTTGCATGAGAGGATTTGGAAGCGAAGGAGTCGGTAGGAGACCTGTATCAGGCTTTGATATGACCGAGGAGGAACTAGTTTGCGAGCCGGTCAATGTGGACACAATGCTATCGAAATTTCCTGGTGCAAGGCTAGCTAAGTTACTGAGTGCATTGACCTCTCTTAGGGCATTATTGAGAGCTTCATCTGCAGTATTCGAAGCCGGCTCCAAAGCTGGAGCGCTGGAAATAGATTGAACGACTGGATTACCTAGAAGCGGCAAGGAATTAGATAAGATTTCAGCTGCTTCTGCCTCTGCCTTAACCTCATTTTCATCCTCTTTGGATGGTTTGAAAAGCTCTGTTTTGGTTTCAGACTCTGGAGCCTTATTTTTGCTAGGGATTACTCCGGTTGGAAGGATAGTTGGTTTGTATCGCTTCATCATAGCCTGGAGTTTAGGCATTGATTTGGGTTCATCCATTTTGGAATCACTTCCGGATTCAAAAACCCCCGTTTTTTCTGATTGACCATCTTGGCCAGACAATGGCTTAGAGGCATTTATTTTAAGGCTAAATTTGAGTGCCCCTCCGGATGACTGATCCGCGCCGATGATTAATGGGGGCTCTGAGGAAGGTGGTGGCGGAGGTGGAGGCGGTGGGGGAGGAGGCACAATAGAGGCTACAGTGGTGCTTGTAGAATTTCTGTCTATTGGAGGAGGGAGAGGTATCGAAGATGCATCTACACATAGAGCAGGCAGCGGAATATCCTCTATACTCGGTTTCTGTTTCTTGGGCTTTTTGCTACTTACTATTTAGGATAAGAGTAAAAAAACAAATGCAACAAACCGGGAAGAGGTATGGATGACAAATCAATTGGAATAGAATCCTCAATGTCTCTGGGTAAAAATAATTAATAAAGGAATATGAGCTTACTCCGTTGGGAAGGCTGGATCATAGTCCATTTGCCAATTACGGTCTCAATCGAAGGAGACTCAATGAATATATTTAATTACAATGAGAATATAACCCAAAATAACCCAAAAAATACTGTACACAAAAATGTAGCGCAGAGGTTCACATACGACCCTAAGGAGCGCCAGAGTACGGCGTAGACTTATTAAACAAGGTTTGGGATATAAAAGCGAAATCATAAAGATTTTCTAACTAGAATATAAACTTATTTAAATCTGATTTAAAATAAAATAATATTTTGGAGTAAAGTTTTTTTTAATCTTAGTTTATTGGAAAAGTAACTTGATTTAATAATTTTTAAAAATTAATATTCTTATTATTTAAATTAGGCAGTAATTATATATGCTTTTACAGTACTTAGCACTGGCCTTATGTAAATTAAATTCAGAATCCACTATTCAAGATCTCGAAATATCTAGTATGTCTATGATTTATTCGTTAAGTAATTAGTTAGTTTACTCTATGAAGAAAGATTAAAATCCCCTGCGTCGACTTAAATATTACAAGTCTATAAGAGAGATTATA